CCCCTTAGCTCAAAGTCTGGATCCACCACTGCAATGGTAGTCAGTCTTGCCGGACGTCAAAATGTCAAAAGGGTCCCATTTGATGTTGGGACCAGTTGTTTTAACGTGATCAGCAATAGCAGAAGAGTGATCATGTTTCGAAAGGGCCTTTAAATGGTCCGTTCATAAAATGCTTCCCTGCTAGCAGAACACCAGGAAAAGAGCCTCTGCTAGCAGGGAAATAAAATGCATGTTTGTAAAATGTCTAACACCGCTGTTTTTGTTATATTTTTAATCAAGCTGCGATGGCCGAAGACCAAGAGTCTACAACATGACGTTTCGGCGTCATCTTGACGCCATTATCAAATGCAGATTTAAGTCGTTTAGTTCAGTTATAAACTACCTTAAACTGCATTTGATGATGGCGACTAGATGACGCCGAAAGGTCATGTTATAGACTCTTGGTCTTCTCCGTGATAGGGTACATAAATTTTGCCAATTTTCTGGAACCGGAAAACTACTCTTTCAAATTATATAGGGTCTGGAACAGGGTCGCAAATTTATCATTCTGGAAAAGGTCCATAGCGTCAGGACCTCTAATAGACTCAGTGGCACATCTCGGAAATAAAGTTAAGGGAGTACCCTCCCACGATCATCACGATTATGGCCAACATATGAGCTGAAGATGGATGGGAATGAAATCTCATTTTCATACGAAAGAATGGGCACCAAGACTCGCTTTGAGAAAGACGCTAAAGGTAGATAGCTATCATCCAAATGACATGCATCCAATGCACTTAGCGATCTAACAACCAAAAGTGTGTAAATGTAAAGTGGTATAAACGTTAGTTGCATATGTGAAGATAAGACGACCACTCAGTATAACGAGGAAAACGATTATTGAAATAAACAGTCACGAAAAATATGAAGTTAAATATTGACTCTTTTCTGAAATCTTTGATGAGCTNTTGCATATGTGAAGATAAGACGACCACTCAGTATAACGAGGAAAACGATTATTGAAATAAACAGTCACGAAAAATATGAAGTTAAATATTGACTCTTTTCTGAAATCTTTGATGAGCTTGAAGAAAGAGATATATTATTTTAAGTGTTAATTCCACTCGATTTTCGCTGATTTTTTTGTAAAAATTATTTGTTTAATGCAATGGTGTAAAACTTATCACTTTCATTTTTATCCAATAAAAAATATTTGTAGGCGACGATGTTTTTCACCCGAAAACACCAAATCTCTCCAGACAACAGTTTGTATGGTAAGATATTTAATTTGTAGAAAATAACGCAAACCTTAGTGAAAAAAAATTAATGAAAATACTACTTAGTATGCAGGTTATTTCTTAGCTGTCATACCGAGCTGTAAATTATTTTAGTAATTGAACGCATGAGTGTGTCAGGAACTCAGATCACGTCTGAATATATAAAATATGCACATAAACAAAACACATTAATTGACATTTTATGTAGCTTCCATCAGAAAATTAAAAACGTCTAATAATGTACACTCGTCCGATCCTATTTTGTGGGTCTCTGTTTCTAATCAGTTTCTACCAAAAAGAACAACCAACCTAGCATTTTCGCTAGCTCTCCATTTCAACTGGTAAAAAGTTTAGAAAACCAACCAACGAGGGCGATATTTAAAAGTCTTTA